TTAGTGCTTATATCTGAAAAAAAAGAAAATATACCTCGTCCAAAGATTTGTATCCCCAATACAAGGCGCTCATCCTCTTCAGCAGTCCAGTCTCCAGCTTCAGTGCACTTGTCGAGTACATTGCACCATCTGCAATATCATCAATTTTGGAGACAGAAGAAGAAATCCGATGAACATACCGCTCCCTGCACTGCCCGTCGGATCTCCCATAGACTGCTTTTGCTATCTTGCCCCAATCTTTGGCACCAAACCGAGCCACAGCTGACATCAACAGCTGGAACGGAATGACTAACTAGCTTCAACGAAACGAGTTGAGCAAAGCATACCAGATCTTCGTGATCCGTCCAACGTCCATGTCGAACATTCTCGTCAAGCGTATGCTGGTACCTAGCTCGAACTTGCTGACGGTGTCTACCAGGCATATAGAAGGTGACTAAAATCCTAGCTTTTACTTACAACCCAGAAAATGATCCAAAGTATTTGAAAAATTCAAATTTCAAAACTCAACAAGTATGAATTACCTTTATCCCACTGCACATTTCCGTTCACAGTCATCACTTTGACAAGAGCAATCAGCCGATCATCCTCTTCTTTTGTCCAGTCTTTGGATCTCTTATACAGATCGCTGCGATATCTTTCAAAGCACATATATGGAGAACGTCGAGTCTCAAGCTTCTTTGCGAGCGCTGCCCATGAAGTGAATGAAGGCTAGAAACAAAGTTACAGCTGTGTTTAAGTGTTAGACGTATGTAGCGCCATAGTCTCTCAAAAATAATATTAACATACATCTTCGCGATAATCTTTCAGCTTCTGCAGCTCTTCTTTTGTCCAGTCATCGCTGTTCCATCGTGGACACTGCTCATTCAGCCATTTGTAGCGAAGACTAGCAGCCGACCGACTTCCTCTGAACTGAAACAACTAGCAATACCTTATTCCTGCTCATCATCGATAGTTTACAATATATTTTATACTGCCATCAAGAAGGGATGGTATATATGTATCTGTAGTATCTATGGTATGTATCTGGATGGTTTTAGGAAGGAATTCAATTCCTGCACATTTTCGGGCTCATAATCTTTTGCAGTTTTGGCAGAATAGTCAAAGAAAAAAGAGATTTCGATACACGAAGGCGAGTCTCTGAAAACGTTGACCAACAAAGACGTGATGAAAAGCTTAATTAATACTACATGGAAGAAAGACCTTTTCAGGCACTAGCGATGCTTTTCCCTCTCTTCAATACTAAAGCATATCAGAGCGCTTGCACATCAAACAAATAAAATTTACTGTTCTTTCATATAAACTCGACTGTTGCTCACCTCTATCGTTGAAATTTTCATCCAGTCAACACA